GGGAAGGGAGGGGGCCCCTCCCACCAAAAAGCGGGCCCCCTCGCCCGCCGGCGGCCCCAGGGCCCCCCGAAGAAAGCTGCTGCTGGAGTTCGAGCCGGCGGCTGAGGACGTGCTCCTGCGGCGCATCATGACCCTGATCGAGCCTGGGGGGGACGACCACAAGCTGACGCCCGCCTTCCTGCTCTGCCTCTGCATCCAGCACTCGGCCACCAGCTTCGAGCCGGGAGATTTCGGGCAGCTGCTGCTCAAAGTGGCCAAAATGATCCAGAGGACAGTGTGGGTCAGTCAGCGGTGGGACCGGGGGGTTGGTGGGGTAAGGGTGGATGCCCCCTGAGGGCTTCTCCCAGCCTGGCCTCCTCCAGGTGCTGGTTGGGGTGATGCTGGTGCCACCCCTTTTCTACTGGTTTTCATTTTGCTTTCCCCTTCTCTCCCTGCCCAGGAGCGGACACGGGAGCTGGCTGAGAAGCAGTCCCAGCAGTAAGTGCAAACCCGCCGCCCCTCTTCATTTTACCCTGAAACGGGGAGAATTCAAACCAATTCTTCTTCTGCAAGCAAGGGGAACCCGTGCCTGGTTATGGCCACCCTCACAGCATGCATGTGGACTGCATTTTCCTGCTCGATCCCACGCATTTGCCTCTCCAGTCCTTTTACCACGGTGCCTGCAAGGACCCTGTTTAGGAATGTGTGGGGCTGAAGAAGCAGGCGAGCTCGAGGAGGGGGGAATAGGACCTGCAGCAGCTCTGGGATCTTCTCCAAGCCCAGGCCAAGGCTTTGCACATGTGGCTTCAGCATCCCCAGGGGATGTAGCAGGGATAGCCGTGGTGTGGGGTCTCACCCTGTTCATGCTGAAGACCCCTCTGCAGGGCTGGCTCCTGGCAGGGCACAAGGCTGACTTCCCAGAATCCAGGCTTCAAAAGCAGCATTTGGAGAAGCTGTTGGTGCTTGCTGTGAGCTCTCCTTCAGGACAAACTCTGAGGATGCTTCCCAGGCCTTTCCTACAG